GCGTGCGCAAAGACGAGCAGAGGCGCGGATAGTAACTGATAGGCGCTCACAGGCGAGCAGAGGCAAGCAGAGGCGGGCAGAGGTGCGCAGAGGCGAGCAGAGTCGCTCAGAGGCGACCAGAGGCACGCAGAGCTCGCAGAGGTACGCAGAGGCACTCAGAGGCGCGTAGAGGCGGGCACGCAGAGGCGCGCAGAGGCACGCACAGGCGCACACAGGCGTGCAGAGGCGCGCAGAGGCACGCAGACGCGCGCAGAGGCGTGCGCAAAGGCGAGCAGAGGCGCAGACGCGCGCAGACGCGCACGCAAAGGCGGGCAGAGGCGCAGAGGCGCGCGCAAAGGCGAGCAGAGGCGCGGATAGGCGCTCAGAGGCGAACAGATGGGAGCAGAGAGGAGCAGAGGCGAGCAGAGGCGCGCAAAGGCAAGCAGAGGCGCTGAGAGGGAGTAGAGGCGCGCAGAGGCAAGCAGAGGCGCACAGAGGCGAGCAGAGGCGCGCAGAGGCACACAGAGGCACGCAGAGGCGCGCAGAGGCGCTCAGAGGCGCTCAGAGGCGCACAGAGGCGCGCGCAAAGGCGAGCAGAGGCGCAGAGGCGTGCGCAAAGGCGAGCAGAGGCGCGGATAGTAACTGATAGGCGCTCACAGGCGAGCAGAGGCAAGCAGAGGCGGGCAGAGGTGCGCAGAGGCGAGCAGAGTCGCTCAGAGGCGACCAGAGGCACGCAGAGGCGCGCAGAGGTACGCAGAGGCGCTCAGAGGCGCGTAGAGGCGGGCACGCAGAGGCGCGCAGAGGCACGCACAGGCGCACACAGGCGTGCAGAGGCGCGCAGAGGCACGCAGACGCGCGCAGAGGCGTGCGCAAAGGCGAGCAGAGGCGCAGACGCGCGCAGACGCGCACGCAAAGGCGGGCAGAGGCGCAGAGGCGCGCGCAAAGGCGAGCAGAGGCGCGGATAGGCGCTCAGAGGCGAACAGATGGGAGCAGAGAGGAGCAGAGGCGAGCAGAGGCGCGCAAAGGCGAGCAGAGGCGCGCAAAGGCAAGCAGAGGCGCTGAGAGGCGCGCAGAAGCGCGCAGAGTCGGGTATAGGTGTGCAGAGGCGCGTAGAGGCACGCAGAGGGGCGCAGAGGGGAGCAGATGCGCGCAGAGGCGCACAGAGGCCAGTAGAGGCGAGCAGAGGCGAGCAAAGGCGCGTAGAGGCATCCAGAGGCGCGCACAGGCGCGCACAGGCGTGCAGAGGCGCGCAGAGGCGTGTGTAAAGGCGAGCAGAGACGCAGAGGCGCGCGCAAAGGCGAGCAGAGGCAGAGAGGCGCGCGCAAAGGCAAGCAGAGGTGCGCAGAGGTGCGCAGACGCGCGTAGTGGCGCGCAGAGGCGCGAAGAGGGGCGCAGAGGCGCGCAGAGGCGAGCAGAGGAGCACCTGAGGCACGCGCAGAGGCGCACAGAGGCGGACAGAGGCACGCACAGGCGAGCAAAGGAGCGCAGAGGCGCACAGAGGCGCGCAGAGGAGAGCAGAGGATCGCCTGAGCGCGCAAAGGCGTACGCAGAGGCGGGCAGAGGCGCACAGAGGCCAGCAGAGGCGAGCAGAGGCGTACAAAGGCTTGTAGAGGCGCACATAGGCATGCAGAGGCGCGCACAGGCGCGCAGAGGCGCGCACAGGCGTGCGCAAAGGCGAGCAGAGGCGCAGAGGCGCGCGCAAAGGTGAGCAGAGGCACAGAGGCGCGCGTAAAGGCAAGCAGAGGCGCGCAGTGGTGCGTAGAGGCGCGCAGAGGCGCGCAGAGGCGAGCAGAGGGGAGCAGAGGAGCACCTGATGCACGCGCAGAGGCGTGCAGAGGCAAGCAGAGGCAAGCAGAGGCGCACAGAGGCGAGCAGAGGCGCACAGAGGCGCACAGAGGCACGCAGAGGCGCACGCAAAGGCGAGCAGAGGCGCAGAGGCGCGCAAAGGCGAGCAGAGGCGCGGGCAGGCGCTCAGAGGCGAACAGAGGGGAGCAGAGGCTAGCAGAGGTGCGCAGAGGCGAGCATAGGCGCGCAGAGGCGCTGAGAGGCGCGCAGAGGCGCGCAGAGGCGCGCAGATGCGGGTATAGGTGTGCAGAGGCGCGCAGAGGCGGGTAGAGGTGCGCAGAGGGGAGCAGAGGCGCGCAGAGGCGCCCAGAGGCCAGCAGAGGCGAGCAGAGGCGTGCAAAGGCGCGTAGAGGCACAGAGGCGTGCGTAAAGGCGAGCAGAGGCGCAGAGGCATGCGCAAAGGCGAACAGAGGCACAGAGGCGCGCGCAAAGGCAAGCAGAGGCGCGCAGAGGTGCGCAGAGGCGCGCAGAGGCGAGCAGAGGAGCACCTGAGGCACGCGCAGAGGCGCATAGAGGCGGACAGAGGCACGCACAGGCGAGCAAAGGAGCGCAGAGGCGCACAGAGGCGCACAGAGGAGAGCAGAGGAGCGCCTGACCGCGCAAAGGCGTACGCAGAGGCGGGCGGAGGCGCACATAGGCCAGCAGAGGCGAGCAGAGGCGTGCAAAGGCGTGTAGAGGCGCACATAGGCATGCAGAGGCGCGCACAGGCGCGCAGAGGCGCAAACAGGCGTGCGCAAAGGCGAGCAGAGGCGGAGAGGCGCGCGCAAAGGCGAGTGGAGGCACAGAGGCGCTCGCAAAGGCAAGCAGAGGCGCGCAGAGGTGCGCAGAGGCGCGTAGTGGTGCGTAGAGGCGCGCAGAGGCGCGCAGAGGCGCGCAGAGGGGCGCAGAGGCGACCAGAGGAGCACCTCAGGCACGCGCAGATGCGCTCAAAGGCGGACAGAGGCACGCAGAGGCACGCAGAGGCGAGCAGAGGAGCGCAAAGGCGCGCATAGGCGCGCAGAGGCGTGCGCAGAGGCGTGCGCAGAGGCGAGCAGAGGCGCAGAGTCGCGCGCAAAGGCGGGCAGAGACGCGCAGAGGCGTGCAGAGGCGCGCAGAGTGGAGTAGAGGCGTGCAGAGGCAAGCAGAGGCATGCAAAGGCGCGGAGATGTGCGCAGAGGCGCACGCAGAGGCACGCAGAGGGGAAAAGAGGAGCGCAGAGGCGAGCAGAGGCCCGCCAAGGCGCGTAGAGGTGCGCAGAGGCGCACAGAGGCACGCCCTGCGCGCCTCTGCGCGCAGGGGCGCGCTTAAAGGCGAGCAGAGGCGCAGAGGCGTGCGCAAAGGCGAGCAGAGGCGCGGATAGGCGCTCAGAGGCGAGCAGAGGCGAGCAGAGGTGGGCAGAGGTGCGCAGAGGCAAGCAGAGGCGTGCAGAGGCGTGCAGAGGCGCGCAGAGGGGAAAACAGGCGCGCAGAGGCGCACAGAGGCGAGCAGAGGCGCGCAGAGGCACACAGAGGCACGCAGAGGCGCGCAGAGGCGCGCAGAGGCGCTCAGAGGCGCTCAGAGGCGCGCAGAGGCGCGCGCAAAGGCAAGCAGAGGCGAAGAGGCATGCGCAAAGGCGAGCAGAGGCGCGGATAGGTGCTGATAGGCGCTCACAGGCGAGCAGAGGCAAGCAGAGGCGGGAAGGGGTGCGCAGAGGCGAGCAGAGTCGCACAGAGGCGACCAGAGGCACGCAGAGGCGCGCAGAGGTACGCAGATGCGCTCAGAGGCGCGCAGAGGCGGGCACGCAAAGGCGCGCACAGGCACGCACAGGCGCACTCAGGCGTGCAGAGGCGCACGCAAAGGCGAGCAGAGGCGCAGAGGCGCGCGCAAAGGTGAGCAGAGGCGCGGATAGGCGCTCAGAGGCGAACAGATGGGAGCAGAGGGGAGCAGAGGCGAGCAGAGGCGCGCAAAGGCGAGCAGAGGCGCTGAGAGGCGCCCAGAGGCGCGCAGAGGCGCGCAGAGTCGGGTATAGGTGTGCAGGGGCGCGTAGAGGTACGCAGAGGGGCGCAGAGGGGAGCAGAGGCGCGGAGAGGCGCACAGAGGCCAGCAGAGGCGAGCAGAGGCGTGCAAAGGCGCGTAGAGGCATCCAGAGGCGCACAAAGGCGCGCACAGGCGTGCAGAGGGGAGCAGAGGCGCAGAGGCGCGCGCAAAGGCGAGCAGAGGCACAGAGGCGCGCGCAAAGGCAAGCAGAGGCGCGCAGAGGTGCGCAGAGGCGCGTAGTGACGCGCAGAGTCGCGCAGAGGCGCGCAGAGGCGCGCAGAGGCGAGCAGAGGAGCACCTGAGGCACGCGCAGAGGCGCACAGAGGCGGACAGAGGCACGCACAGGCGAGCAAAGGAGCGCAGAGGCGCACAGAGGCGCGCAGAGGAAAGCAGAGGATCGCCTGAGCGCGCAAAGGCGTACGCAGAGGCGGGCAGAGGCGCACAGAGGCCAGCAGAGGCGAGCAGAGGCGTGCAAAGGCGAGCAGAGGCAAGCAGATGCGCGCAAAGGCGCGTGGAGGCACGCAGAGGCGCGCACAGGCGCGCACTGTTGCACACAGGGATGTGGAGGCGCGCAGAGACACGCAGAGGCGCATAGAGGCGTGCGCAAAGGCGAGAAGAGGCGCAGAGGCGCGCAGAGGCGCGCGCAAAGGCGAGCCGAGGCGCAGAGGCACGCGCAAAGGCGAGCATAGGCGCGGATAGGCGCTCAGAGGCAAACAGAAGGGAGCAGAGTCGAGCAGAGGTGCGCAGAGGCGAGCCGAGGCGCGCAAAGGCGCGCAGAGGCGCTGAGAGGCGCCCAGAGGCGCGCAGAGGGGCGCAGAGGCGCGCAGAGGCGGGTATAGGTGTGCAGAGGCGCGCAGAGGCGCGTAGAGGCGCACAGAGGCATGCAGAGGCGCGCACAGGCGTGCAGAGGCGCGCAGAGGCGTGCGCAAAGGCGAGCAGAGGTGCAGAGGTGCAGAGGCGTGCGCAAAGGCGAGCAGAGGCGCAGAGGCGCGCGCATAGGTGAGCAGAGGCAAAGAGGCGCGCTCAAAGGCAAGCAGAGGCGCGCAGAGGTGCGCAGACGCGCGCAGAGGGGCGCAGAGGCGAGCAGAGGGGCGCAGAGGCACGCAGAGGCGCAGAGGCACGCGCAAAGGCGAGCAGAGGCGCGGATAGGCGCTCAGAGGCAAACAGAAGGGAGCAGAGTCGGGCAGAGGGGCGCAGAGGCGCGCAGAGGCGGGTATAGGTGTGCAGAGGCGCGCAGAGGCGCGTAGAGGCGCACAGAGGCATGCAGAGGCGCGCACAGGCGCGCATAGGCGTGCAGAGGCGCGCAGAGGCGTGCGCAAAGGCGAGCAGAGGTGCAGAGGTGCAGAGGCGTGCGCAAAGGCGAGCAGAGGCGCAGAGGCGCGCGCATAGGTGAGCAGAGGCAAAGAGGCGCGCTCAAAGGCAAGCAGAGGCGCGCAGAGGTGCGCAGAGGCGCGCAGAGGGGCGCAGAGGCGAGCAGAGGGGCGAAGAGGCACGCAGAGGCGCGCAGAGGCGCGCAGAGGCGCGCAGAGGCGCGCAGAGGCGCGCAGAGGCGCGCAGAGGCGAGCAGAGGAGCGCCTGAGCGCGCAAAGGCGTACGCAGAGTCGGGCAGAGGCGCGCAGAGGCGTGCTGAGGCGCGCAGAGGGGAGTAGAGGCGTGCAAAGGCGCGCAGAGGTGCACAGAGGTGAGCAGAGGCCCGCAAAGGCGCGTAGAGGTGCGCAGAGCCGCACGCAGAGGTGCGCAGAGGCGGGCAGAGGCGCGCAGAGGCGTGCAGAGGCGCGCAGAGGGGAAAACAGGCGCGCAGAGGCAAGCAGAGGCGCACAGAGGCGAGCAGGGGGCGCAGAGGCACACAGAGGCACGCAGAGGCGCGCAGAGGCGCGCAGAGGCGCGCGCAAAGGCGAGCAGAGGCGCAGAGGCGTGCGCAAAGGCGAGCAGAGGCGCGGATAGGTGCTGATAGGCGCTCACAGGTGAGCAGAGGCAAGCAGAGGCGGGCAGAGGTGCGCAGACGCGAGCAGAGTCGCTCAGAGGCGACCAGAGGCACGCAGAGGCGCGCAGAGGTACGCAGATGCGCTCAGAGGCGCGCAGAGGCGGGCACGCAGAGGCGCGCACAGGCACGCACAGGCGCAGACAGGCGTGCAGAGGCGCGCAGAGGCACACAGACGCGCGCAGAGGCGTGCGCAAAGGCGAGCAGAGGCGCAGAGGCGCGCAGACGCGCACGCAAAAGCGAGCAAAGGCGCGCGCAAAGGCGAACAGAGGCGCGGATAGGCGCTCAGAGGCGAAAAGATGGGAGCAGAGGCAAGCAGAGGCAAGCAGAGGCGCGCAAAGGCGAGCAGAGGCGCTGAGAGGCGCGCAGAGTCGGGTATAGGTGTGCAGAGGCGCGTAGAGGCACGCAGAGGGGCGCAGAGGGGAGCAGAGGCGCGCAGAGGCGCACAGAGGCCAGCAGAGGCGAGCAGAGGCGTGCAAAGACGCGTAGAGGCATCCAGAGGCGCGCACAGGCGCGCACAGGCGTGCAGAGGCGCGCAGAGGCGCGCGCAAAGGCGAGCAGAGGCACAGAGGCGCGCGAAAAGGCAAGCAGAGGCGCGCAGAGGTGCGCAGAGGCGCGTAGTGGCGCGCAGAGGCGCAGAGGCGCGCAGAGGCGAGCAGAGGAGCACCTGAGGCACGCGCAGAGGCGCACAGAGGCGGACAGAGGCACGCACAGGCGAGCAAAGGAGCGCAGAGGCGCACAGAGGCGCGCAGAGGAGAGCAGAGGATCGCCTGAGCGCGCAAAGGCGTACGCAGAGGCGGGCAGAGGCGCACAGAGGCCAGCAGAGGCGAGCACAGGCGTGCAAAGGCGTGTAGAGGCGCACATAGGCATGCAGAGGCGCGCACAGGCGCGCAGAGGCGCGCAAAGGCGTGGGCAAAGGCGAGCAGAGGCGCAGAGGCGCGCGCAAAGGCGAGCAGAGGCACAGAGGCTCGCGCAAAGGCAAGCAGAGGCGCGCAGAGGTGCGCAGAGGCGCGTAGTGGTGCGTAGAGGCGCGCAGAGGCGCGCAGAGGGGCGCAGAGGCGCGCAGAGGCGAGCAGAGGCGAGCAGAGGACCACCTGAGGCACGCGCAGAGGCGGACAGCGGCGCACAGAGGCGTGCAGAGGCAAGCAGAGGCGCACAGAGGCGAACAGAGGCGTGCAAAGGCGCACAGAGGCGCACAGAGGCGCGCAGAGGCGCACGCAAAGGCGAGCAGAGGCGCAGAGGCGCCCAAAGGCGAGCAGAGGCGCGGATAGGCGCTCAGAAGCGAACAGAGGGGAGCAGAGGCTAGCAGAGGTGCGCAGAGGCAAGCATAGGCGCGCAAAGGCGCGCAGAGGCGCTGAGAGGCGCCCAGAGGCGCAGAGGGGCGCAGAGGCGCGCAGAGGCGGGTATAGGTGTGCAGAGGCGCGCATAGGCGCGTAGAGACGCGCAGAGGGGCGCAGAGGGGAGCAGAGTCGCCCAGAGGCCAGCAGAGGCGAGCAGAGGCGTGCAAAGGCGCGTAGAGGCATCCAGAGGCGCGCACAGAGGCGTGCGTAAAGGCGAGCAGAGGCGCAGAGGCATGCGCAAAGGCGAGCAGAGGCACAGAGGCGCGCGCAAAGGCAAGCAGAGGCGCGCAGAGGTGCGCAGAGGCGCGCAGAGGCGCGCATAGGAGCACCTGAGACACGCGCAGAGGCGCATAGAGGCGGAAAGAGGCACGCACAGGCGAGCAAAGGAGTGCAAAGGCGCACAGAGGCGCGCAGAGGCGCGCAGAGGAGAGCAGAGGAGCGCCTGAGCGCGCAAAGGCGTACGCAGAGGCGAGCGGAGGCGCACAGAGGCCAGCAGAGGCGAGCAGAGGCGTGCAAAGGAGTGTAGAGGCGCACATAGGCATGCACAGGCGCGCACAGGCGCGCAGAGGCGCAAACAGGCGCGCGCAAAGGCGAGCAGAGGCACAGAGGCGCTCGCAAAGGCAAGCAGAGGCGTGCAGAGGTGCGCAGAGGCGCGTAGTAATGCGTAAAGGCGCGCAGAGGGGCGCAGAGGCGAGCAGAGGAGCACCTCAGGCACGCGCAGATGCGCTCAGAGGCGGACAGAGGCACGCAGAGGCACGCAGAGGCGAGCAGAGGAGCGCAAAGGCGCGCAGAGGCGCGCATAGGCGCGCAGAGGCGTGCGCAAAGGCGCAGAGGCGCGCGCAAAGGCGGGCAGAGGCGTGCAGAGGCGCGCAGAGTGGAGTAGAGGCGTGCAGAGGCAAGCAGAGGCATGCAAAGGCGCGGAGATTTGCGCAGAGGCGCACGCAGAGGCACGCAGAGGGGAAAAGAGGCGAGCAGAGGCGAGCAGAGGCCCGCAAATGCGCGTAGAGGCGCGCAAAGGCGCACAGAGGCACGCCCTGCGCGCCTCTGCGCGCAGGGGCGCGCCTAAAGGCGAGCAGAGGCGCAGAGGCGTGCGCAAAGGCGAGCAGAGGCGCGGATAGGCGCTCAGAGGCGAGCAGAGGCGAGTAGAGGTGGGCAGAGGTGCGCAGAGGCAAGCAGAGGCGCTCAGAGGTGCGCAGAGGCGGGCATAGGCGGGCATAGGCGTGCAGAGGCGCGTTGAGGCACGCAGAGGGGAGCAGAGGCGCGAAGAGGCGCACAGAGGCGAGCAGAGGCAAGCAGAGGCGCGCAAAGGCACTTGGAGGCACGCAGAGGCGCGCACAGGCGCGCACAGTTGCACACAGGCGTGCAGAGGCGCGCAGAGGCACGCAGAGGCGCGCAGAGGAGAGTAGAGGCGTGCAGAGGCGCGCAGAGGCGCACAGAGGCAAGCAGAGGCCCGCAAAGGCGCGTAGAGGTGCGCAGAGGCGGGCAGAGGCGTGCAGAGGCGTGCAGAGGCGCGCAGAGGCGCGCAGAGGGAAAAAGAGGCGCGCAGAGGCGAGCAGAGGCGCGCAGAGGCACACAGAGGCACGCAGAGGCGCGCAGAGGTGATCAGAGGCGCGCAGAGGCGCGCGCAAAGGCGAGCAGAGGCGCAGAGGCGAGCAGAGACGCGGAGAGGTGCTGATAGGCGCTCAGAGGCGCTCACAGGCGAGCAAAGGCAAGCAGAGGCGGGCAGAGGTGCGCAGAGGCGAGCAGAGGCGCTCAGAGGCGACCAGAGGCACGCAGAGGCGCGTAGAGGTACACAGAGGCGCTCAGAGGCGCGCAGAGGCGGGCACGCAGAGGCGCGCACAGGCGCACACAGGCGTGCAGAGGCGCGCAGAGGCACACAGACGCGCGCAGAGGCGTGCGCATAGGCGAGCAGAGGCGCAGAGGCGCGCAGAGGCGCACGCAAAGGTGAGCAGATGCGCTGAGGCGCGCGCAAAGGCGAGCAGAGGCGCGGATCGGCGCTCAGAGGCGAACATAGGGGAGCAGATGCGAGCAGAGGTGCGCAGAGGCGAGCAGAGGCGCTCAGAGGCGCCCAGAGGCACGCAGAGGCGCGCAGAGGCGTGCGGAAAGGCGAGCAGAGGCGCAGAGGCGTGCGCAAAGGCGAGCAGAGGCGCGGCTAGGCGCTCAGAGGCGAGCAGAGGCTGGCAGAGGCGCCCAGAGGCACGCAGAGGCGCACAGCGGCACGCAGAGGCGCGCAGAGGCGCTCAGAGGCGCGCAGAGGCGGGCATAGGCGTGCAGAGGCGCGTAGCGGCGCGCAGAGGCGCGCAGAGGGGAACAGAGGCGCGCAGAGGCGCACAGAGGCGAGCAGAGGCGCGCAAAGGCGCGTAGAGGCGCACACAGGCGTGCAGAGGCACACAGAGGCACGCAGAGGCGCGCAGAGGCGTGCGCAAAGGCGAGCAGAGGCGCGCGCAAAGGCGAGCAGACGCACAAAGGCAAGCAGAGGCGGGGAAAAGCGCTCAGAGACGCGCAGAGGTGCGCAGAGGCGCGCAGTGGTGCGTAGAGGCGCGCAGAGGGGCGCAGAGGCGAGCAGAGGCGAGCAGAGGAGCACCTGAGGCACGCGCAGAGGCGGACAGAGGTACGCAGAGGCACGCAGAGGCGAGCAGAGGAGCGCAAAGGCGCACAGAGGCGCGCAGCGGCGCGCAGAGGCGAGCAGAGGAGCGCCTGAGCGCGCAAAGGCGTACGCAGAGGCGGGCAGAGGCGTGCAGAGGCTCGCAGAGGGGAGTAGAGACGTGCAGAGGCAAGCAGAGGCGCACAGAGGCGAGCAGAGGCCCGCAAAGGCGCGTAGAGGTGCGCAGAGGCGCGCGTAGAGGCGCACGCAGAGGCGGGCAGAGGAGCGCAGAGGAGCGCAGAGGGGAAAAGAGGCGCGCACAGGCAAGCAAAGGCGCACAGAGGCGAGCAGAGGCCCGCAAAGGCGCGTAGAGGCGCGCAGAGGCGCACAGAGGCACGCAGAGGCGCACAGAGGCACGCAGAGGCGCGCAGAGGCGCGCAGAGGCGCGCAGAGGCGCGCAGAGGCGCGCAGAGGCGCGCAGAGGCGCGCAGAGGCGTGCGCAAAGGCGAGCAGAGGCACAGAGGCGTGTGCAAAGGCGAGGATAGGCGCTCATAGGCGAGCAGAGGCGAGCAGAGGCGGGCATAGCTGCGCAGAGGCGAGCAGAGGCGCTCAGAGGCGCCCAGAGACACGCAAGAGGCGCGCAGAGGCGCGCAGAGGCGCGCAGAGGCGCGCAGAGGCGGGCATAGGCGTGCAGAGGGAAGCAGAGGCGGGCAGAGGCGCGCAGAGGCGCACAGAGGCGAGCAGAGGCGAGCAGATGTGAGCAGAGGCGCGCAAAGGCGCGTAGAGGCGCACAGAGGCACGCAGAGGCGCGCACAGGCGCGCACAGGCAAGCAGAGGCGGGGAAAAGCGCGCAGAGGTGCGCAGAGGCGCGAGCAGAGGCACGCAGGGGCGCGAAGGGCCACGCAAATGCGCGCAGAGGAGGGCAAAGGTGAGTGAGTGCGTGTGTGTGTGTGCGTGTGCATTCGTGCGAACGTTTTCACGTTTGTGCACATGGGTACATGCGCACGTGGGCATGTGAGTGCGCGCATGCATGAGCAGGTGTGTGTGAGCGCATGCGTGCGTGCGCGGACGTGTGCGTACGTGTGTTTGTGGGTCAGAGACAGAAAGAGAGAGGCAGGGGGATGATAGACAAAACAATAATTATTTCAATCTGAGCACTAACTTTGTAGTTGGATCCAAATATACAGAGGTACAAGTGCAATCCTAGCTTCTTCGCATGCTGAAATGCAGTAACAGCCACATCGTTCTGAGCCTTGTCCCATTCACCCATGGGAATCGCCACGTTGGCTGCTTCTCAACCATCAAACCCCACGAACTACGCGCGCGGCATGCGCCAGTGCCGCTCCGCCAAGTGGCCCGCCATTCTGAACCTTACGCTGAACTTAGCGAACCTTTGCTCCTGCCACCACGAAGGCCCCTAGGTTCGACTTCAACATCGAGCAGCTCGACTTCGATGTCCGTCTGCGACATCTCTACGTCTGCGTGTGCCTCAGATTATGCCTCGTGCGCCAGCTCATCAGCATGGATGATCAAAATCGGCATATCAAAGCTCTCTGCTTCCGTAAAATGCAGTGCTTCCTCCGCCACAATCTCAAACAACTCGCCATCCCGATCATTCTCTTCAGCAGCATCCACTACGGCTTCATCATCTTCATACCAGACCGAGGAACTGGAGGCGGGTTCACCGAGGAGGCGGGTAATACAGCTCGATCGCCTCTCCCGGAGGGATTTTGCCGTGACGGACACTGCGCATTTACAGGATCGACCGCTCAGCCACAAACTCAAATTTGACCTACCGAAGTCAGTGGATATGCTGTGTAGACCCTCTACGGCTTTTCTAAGTCCTACGTCATTAGGTCTGTGTAGGCGCACGGTCACTCCAGCGACTTGGCCCATAGCTGCGACCGTAGATCTACGCGTCAGGCGGACGTGTTTAGCCTTTAGGTGGTGAAATCCCCGTGCCGCAAGGTCCCCGCCACACAAGTACCGGTATCGGCATCTGAAACCACCCATGCGTTATGTCCGGACCGCACTAGGCCGATTTTAGGCCGACATGGACTCGTACGAAAAATTCTCGTTACCGGGCGAACATACTAATTGCCTCATGTGGACGGTGTTGTCGTACACGTTTCCGACAAATCTGCGGCGAGTTTCTTGCCGCATTCGCACCTGGTCGATATTTTGCCGATTTGTAGTGCTGTGCGGCAGGTTACCGCCCCCTGTCCTCGTTTACATGCAGAGCACAGTGAATTTCAGCGACAATCCAGTTCGTGGCGTGCAGCCGATGGTTTTTCGTCAAAGTCCAGGAAACTTCAAACTTCAAACTCCCTATGGTGTAAACGAGGAAAGGGGACGGCAAACTGCTGCACGGCATATTTCATTGCCGTTTCTCTGTGGGATGGGTAGAAAGAATAATTAGACAGCCTCTGATAAATCCTATTAAGACCGTGGCACGCCTTAGACAGGTGAAAATTTGTCTAAGAATTTTCGAAGGGTCGATAGATG